TAATAATTATTATATATATATATATATATATATATATATGTTTAAGCGATTATTACACAATCTATTTTAAGGTAAGTAGGATTTAGTAAGTAAACTTAGATTAGAGACAACAATAATTTAACAATAACTAAGTTAAGTAGAATCAGAACTAGTAGTAGACAGATAAGACTAGTAGACAAGATAAGCATAAATTAGCAAAAAATAGGTCTACATTAAAACACAGTCATGGGATATTTATCCTTGTAGAGATGGAATTATAAAGTGGACTTTGCATAGCAATTAAGAGCGTCTGCCAGAGATAATTTCGAGTTTTCCATAGTTTCTTTTTGATCGATACATTTTCATAAGCAGTCTAGTGTCTTGAAGTAATAATCCGCAAACTCCTATGTTCATCCGATTAAATTTGCCTGTATAATTCTCGTATAAATTTCGTGGAATAAACAAATGTAATATATACATACGTATATAAACGTGTCTTTAAACAATATTTTAAAATAAATCAAATTGAATCGTTCCATTGAAGATATACTCGTCGTTAATTGATACTTAAAATATTGTTGTCAGTAATGTATGTCGCAACATTTGATTGATAAGATGGACAATAATAATTTTCAATATAGCTTGAAAGAACTAATACAATCTAGATCTAATACAAACGTTATACTTTTATTAGTCCTTAATTTAATCCGATAAAAAATATAATAAACATTTTCCTAGCGTTATAACTATTATTTATTACATTTATAATTCTTTTTAAAGACAAATGTATGTATTTTGAAGAGAAGAGAAATATTTCAAGCGTAAATTTCATAGCTAATAGAAATAACTTCCTTTTTAAAAAAATTCAAGTATGAAATGAAAATTCCGACAAGCGTTCATTTGTCCGCAAATGTGACCCATTGTTGCGCGTAAAGTCTCTTTCCGATTCCCGAGAAACGAGCAAGAAGCTAGGAAAAGATTTTTATTCGTGCGTCATTACGTCCGCCGTATATAATCGATGTGTCATAGGTCAAACCGATGAGATACCGTCGAAGATTTGCAGTCTTCGATGTGCAGTCAACGGTGCGTTCTTCAGACGAAACGCCGAGTTTTCTGCCGTCTCAGCCAACCGCTGGGTTCGAGCGCGATTGGCCTCGTTATACGGCATTCATAAAAAACCAGCAGGTAGCATTTCGCCGTATCAGCTTGCCTTTGTTCTCAGGTAAGAGTCCTCGATGCGTAACTGCCGACTCTCACATCGGCCAATCTCCACGTCGAAATCTATTCCGGATTCGTATCAGAGCGTGCATATTTATATTTGCACAATCATATCAAGCGTGTGCGCGTCCAAATACGATTGTACGGCTGATACTAGATTACACAGTTGAACCGGGAGCGAAGTTAAAAAGAAGAAGGGGCAATGCGATCTGTGTACAATTACAAAATCAGCAATAATTGAAGTGCGAGAAAGAGGCGGAAAGAAAGAAAGAAAGAGCGAGAGATAAAAAAATAAAATCAAAGTAACCTCTGATTTAACTTCTTGCGTCTAGATAATATTTTAGCTCGTAAATAATTAGTCGCGCGACATCGTATCGGATTAGAATTTAATTTTCGGGTCTTTAAACGAGATATGTCGATGCAAGGGCAAAAAGTAGCAGATGAAGTCTCAACAAGTCTGACAATGCAGACGCGATGCTGCTGGATACATGAAGAAAGTTCGACCTCTGCGAGAAAGTATCCATCCGCCAGCGTAATCACTCACTCTCAAAGAGATTTCATCTTCTTAGGAGGGAGTTACCTTCTTAGCCCAATTGTCACTCTCAAGATTATAGTAAATTGCAGGTGAAAGTTCTATTGAGAGTTCCAACAGAGTCATCATTCCGACATGTTTAATGAGTTTCTTTTTTCATTTTATAGTCATGAATCCCTTTAATTTAATGTTCTCTCCGGTTGAGAAAAGGTTACTTGATGCTCACAATGGAAATGTATACAGCCTCGACATTAATCACAAAGCAAAATCTCTACCACTGTCCCCTTCTGGTATGACCTCCCTTATCGGTTCACCGAGCGAATGCTGAACAAGTTGCTTTCTTTTGAGTGACATATGGCGCCATTTACATTTAATGAAGAAAACACGTGTTTTTTACGGACTGCTGTTTTAGCGATAATTTATATATTATTGATCGCAATGCCATTTGTCTGTATATATGAGATTTTGCTTTCTTGAGTTAACAAGGAGAAAAAAGAGAGAGATTGTTTCACTAAATCTCTCTCTTACATATTCTTCCCTCTCTCCCCCTCTCTCTCTCTCTCTACACACGTGTATTTATTTACATAATAAA